CACAGCAGCCCTGAAAAGCTGCTCTGTGAATCTGGGGGCCAGTGGGGCCCAGCCTTAGGGCTGCTGGCTCAGAGCTTGAAGGAAGACAGGTCTGGGTGGCAACCTGACTCCGTCAAACCTGACTTTGCCATTTGTTGGCTTTGTCCTTGGACAAATAAGCCTCCTTGGAGGCTCAGTTTTCTCCTTTGCATGGTAGGTCCCTGTGGCAGCAGGACTTTATTCTAGATTATTATCAATGGGAAAAAGAATCACAGACCTGGTTTGTATCCAGTAGTGGAAACAGGGAAACAGGGACTACATGGTGGGAACATCTCCAGGAATGTGTCTTGATCTCCCGCCCAGCCAGAAGTCTCTTGGGCTGCCCAAGGCTCCACTGAGCTAGCAGGACACACTGTCTCACACAGTACCTAGGACACTGAAGGACAGGGTAAGTGTGGGACACAGGAAAATGTGGCAGATAGCTGAAGTCTGAGTGTGTCGCATGACCTTGAAAAGCCACTTCAGCAACTCTCAAACACAATTCTCAGTGTTTTATTGATAAAAATGGAGACATTAGGTTTTATCAGAGATAAAATGTGTAGTGGCCTATTCTGGAGGAAGTGCGTCATCAGTGCTCCGTGAAGATTAGCTGTAAATAAAATGTTTCTTAAGCACCTCTTATATTCAGAACCAAATAGGTGATGGAACCATATATCGTGAATGTGTTATCGTATGGGTTTAGATGGATTGTGATTGGGCTGTCTGAAGTGGGCATGAGTCCCTAAGCCCAGCCTGAGTGACTGAGAAGCCCAAGGGCCCACCTGGCCTAAGTGTATAATCTTCTCAAGCTGAGACTAGCTACTTCTCCAGCGTGACACTAGGAAATGGGCCTGGTAAATGAAATGGGTTTCAAAATCCGGAGAAAGCAGAGGCATTCATCTCCATCACAGGGATGGACTCACAGGGATGGACTTGGGGTTCACACATGCTCCTGCAGTCATCCATGGTGGAGTGCATGTTACTAGTATTGCACAAAAGCCTCTTCCTGGCAGTCAGGGCTCAGATTTTGATAAGTTAACCTTTCAATGACAAAATGCTATATTCCCATTATTAATAATTTGAGGAGAGAAGAAAAGTGATATGAAAACAGCCTATGATTTGGAATATTAATATTTTCACTTTCTTTTTCCTACCTGGAAAAGTTTTAAAATAACCAGAAATACGCTACCTACAGAGTTTGAGGCTCAGAGCTTTCCAGTTAGGGGTCTATTACAGCTTATCTCTCCATGTCTTCTGATGCTCTGTCTTCACGGGCTGTCCTAGTCTCCATCACTGGCCGCTCAGGTAGTCGGAACCACTTGAATGTCCTTGGGTCTGTGGGACCTGCTGGATTTTAAAATGAGTGCTAGAGAGATGGCCCAGTGGTTAAGAATGTACACTGCTTTTTCAGAGGACCAGAGTTTGGCTCCTAAACACCCACATTGGGAGGCTGACTCCCTCTCCCGGACTCTGTGGGTGCTGCACCCTTACATTGATATTTTAAAAATAAAAGTAAAATCTTTATGTATAAAAATGTCCCTCCATCAATGGGATGTGCCCTATGCATCCTGAATGTTGGGGGAGTATTTCTTTGTTGTTATAAGTTCTCAGATTTAGGGGAGAAGGGTTGAATAGTTGACCACAGGACTCTTCATGGCCAGTGAGTCAGTTTTAAGGCCACAGATGGAGTGTGTTGGGGCACAGCGGGTGTGGCAGGTGCCCCAGCATGTGGTGTTTGGCGACTAATTAGTCAACCCTGTGTCATTGGTGTCACCTGAAGAGTCACATCAATTTCAAGCTTCACTGGAGTTCAAGTGGAAAAGAAGATGATAATTCAACGTTTTATCAAATAGGACATGTTCCAGATCCAGCTAGACTTCTCTGACATACTTTCCAGGTGTTAGAAAAATGAGTTAATGTTTTTCTTTTATTGACATGTGATGAGATCTCAAGGATGTCTGTAAAGTCTTCAGGGTCCCTGTCAGTCCAATACATAGCTCTGTCTCCCTGCAGGCTGCGGCTGGCCCAGCAGGCCGCACCAGTCAAAACCTCTGAGCAGGTGGGAGCTGCCTTTTAATAGAAAAGCTTCAACTTTGGGGAGAAATGGAAGAGGCTTAAAGGAGAGGAGACAGCATCTGGCCCCTGTCCCTTTACCTCTTCCCCTAAAAATGATGGAAATAGACACAGATCCTGACGTTAGCTAATCTTTTGCCAAGAAGATGAATTAGAGGTGGAAGTGTGCCACTGATCACAAGCCTTCCTGGGGTAGGCGTGATGCTGTCCACATGCTTCTGGACCCTTTGACAAGGCCCTTATGGTCATTTCTGGCTGGAGAGCACTGTGAGCTGTCCCAGCTCATTCCTGTAGGGAAATTCATCTTGTCCCACAGCACCTGGACTGTCTCTGTGCTTCCAGCTTTTCTCTTCAGCCCCAGCTAGGTCTGGTATCAGCGTCAAGTAGGTTTTCAAAGGCTGGAATCTTCTGGAGGGTCAGAACTGTGCTCTGTTTTTCCTTGGTGCTTACATTGCATCAGCAAAGCACCAGGACTCCTGACACCCCTATACTGGTGAGCTCAAAAAAGAACTCCTGGCTACTCTTCTTTCTGAAGACCGCAGAAGATGCTGAGTAGGCTCAGCACTGTGATGGAATCCAGGACCTCTCTACCTTGTGTGGTTAGTGCTCTACCACTAAGCTCCACCCCCAGCCTTTGGTCACTTTTGGGTAGTACAGAATGGAGACATATCTCCATAGCTGGACCACATAGTGTAATTAAGTAAGAGCTTGTGCAAGAAGACAGACTGAAAACTTCTGGAGGGTGGGACCTCACTGTCTATCCCCCAGCATGGACCACACCATGGGGTGTCTGACAGGTACTCAACAAAACAAGAACTGGTTGAAATTGCTGTGAAAAGGTAAATGAATAAGAACTTGAGATGCTGAGGCAGGAAGATGGTAAGTTTACATAACTGGACCTTGTCTCAGAAAACAACAGAACAGGTCTCAGGGAGATGGCTTCCCAGGTAAAAGCGGTTGCCACGCAAGCCTGATGACCCGAGTTCAATTCCTGGACCTCACATGAAAATGGAAGGAGAGAACTGACTTCCAAAAGTTGTCCTCTGGCTTCCACATGAGTACTGTAGTGCATGAACATGGCTGCTTGCCATGTGTGCACCCTGTAACACACAATACAAACAAACAAACAAACAAACAAAGCTAGTTCTTCCTTATAGCTCCAGGCTAATTTATGCCTGACATAAAATGGCCCTCAATGATTATATCAAGGAAATGAGGGATGGAATTGACAGACACACCAGAGGCACCACTCCCATTCTATGTTAATCCACAAGGGGTGATTGAGAGAGTTGTCGACATGGGCACCTGCTAGTCCTGAATTCAAGAATCAAGCTATCCTCTTAACTACGGTGGCTATGTTGGGCCATAAAACCTTGCTCCGCAGGTCCAAACACCTTTCACCTCTGCCAGTCATGTCCCTCTCCCCTAAGCTCTTTCAGCTCTGGCAATTAATCTTATCTTGCCGTTGAAATGCTTCCATTATTATCTTAAAAGTCTTAGCTGGGACATAGTAGTTGTACACTTTTATGGGAGCTTTGTTACAGACTCTGAAACATGTGTTGGTGTGTAATGATTTATCAGGCTGGAAAGCACCCCTATCCCATCAAACATTGTGCAGTTCAATGTGGTAAGAACGTTGTCTTTTTCTATTTATTTTGCAATGTGCCATAGGTGGTTATAATCATAGCCACTCTATATAGAAAAGTAGAGTTAGTCTCTCTTACCTAATTGTGCTTTGGTCTCTTGTCTTGATCTGCACTTTGGGTCCATGTAAGGGAATTTCCATGAGCATTCCTGTTTCCTGGTAGAGTTAGTGCAGGGCAATGTGCAGTGTTCTAGCCTGGGAGTCAGAGGCTCTGGCTTTGAACTCTGGCCTAAGCTACTCATCTGGGCATGTAATTGCTATTAAGGTGGGGTGTGCAGAAATTGAACATTATTGATTACCCTTGAGGATAGCACAATTTCTTTGGTCTCCCTCAGCTCTCAGAACCATAGAGATCCCACAGTGGTGCTTGGAAATGATGCCTGACATGTGAGCCACTTTTGCTCAGGGCTGTCTCCTGTGTTCCTTTAGGGCTGGAAGTGGCTCTCCTTCCAGATGCACAATGCTCAGGAATGTTACAAGTCCCATTTAGATGCTCTGACTGAGGGGGCAAAATGTAATGGCAGCCACCACTCAGGGAGCTGAGCTGGTACAGGCGCCTTGATGGTCACGCAGCTCTGAGTAGCTGGGGCAGGGTCTGGGCCCACCCGAAAGCCAGAGAGCTAACACACAGACTATAGATAGGCTCTCCAAGCTACCCCCGATGAAGCTGCAGGGAGCGTCCTCTGCCCTGACCAGCAGGCCACCACAACCTTTACCTCCTCAGGACCCCTTTCTGCTCCTTTGATGGCCCCCCAGCCATCCAGTAGTTCTCTGCTGTCCTTGTCTTCCTCTACTGTCCTTGTTTTTTAAGTCAGGGGGTAGAGAAGCTACCAGGACATTCTGGTTCATTCCTAACAGAGCTCTTCATGGCCAGGGATGTGAGGGACTTCAGAATTTCTTGGTTTGTGTTAAGATAGAGACAGGAGCTGACCCGGTATGGATACCCAAACCATGTAACAATGGTACAAAAAAGAATTAACATTCATATGACTTATGAGCATGGAGGCAAATATTCAGCTCATCAGTAACCAGAATCTAGCCAGGTGTCACAGACGTAAAACACTGTGTTCCCGTGGGGTCATTCTGGGAATGCAAGAATGTTTTCTCCTCGAAAGCAAAGGCTTAGAAGGGGCAGCCCTGGCTCAGGCTAACTTCAGGAGGGACTAAGGATGCTTTGTCCCCTGGCCTACCGTTTGCCATTACACCCCTTCCATGAGCCACTTCTCGCCTGGACCCCCTAACTCTATTTCCCTCTCTCCTGCAGGATTCCATGTTTTCGTTGGCCCTGAAATGCCTTATCAGTTTATCCACCATCATCCTGCTTGGTTTGATCATCGCCTATCACACAAGGGAAGTCCAGGTATGTCCCTCCGCCTGTCCTCCTGCCTTGGTCTGGGTTGAACCTACCCACCCTTAACCCAATGTGAGTGTCCAAAGTCTTGGCTCTTCTGTTTCTCTTTGGATCCTTAAGGGTGTCTTGAGGCTATCCTGTGACCTCAGAACAACAGAGACATTAGTTCCTCTCAGGTGACCTCATGGGCGGGCATATGGCTTCATGACTGGGAGCTGTGCTCTCCTATATACACACGCGCACACACACACACACACACACACACACACACACGCGCGCGTGCGCGCTCGCACACACACGCACACACACACGCACACACACACGCACACACACACGCACACACACACGCACACACACACGCACACACACACGCACACACACACACACACGCGCGCGCGCGCGCACACACACACACACACACACACACACACACACACCAGCAGGGAGCCTACATTTCTGAATGTGTGGATTCTACCTCTGAAGACGCCAGGCTGGGAAGCACCATTTTCTAGATAGAGTGGATGCGTGAAGTGGCTGAGGATGCCTCTTGTTTCTGACTGCCTGGGATGACTCAGTACTCTGGGAAATATTTCCTGGACATCTGGGTATTCTTCCAGCTTGGCTGGTATAAGGAGGATAGTTCAACTTGGAGTAATGCTGGAGTGAGTGGACCTGGTATCCTCTCAGGACAGTGAACCGTCATCCCCTGCCTCCTTCCCCTTGCAGGCTGATCTGCTCACTGCTGACCCAGGTCATCCCAAATATCCAGATGTTTCTGATCATGTATGTGTGAATCTGGACACTCCCCTGGTTCTCTTGCCAGAGGAACATAGACAGAATCACATCTGGGCAGCAAGAAAAGATTGACGAAGTCCAGAACTCAAGACTCAGAAAGACTGGGGTGGAGTCTTGGCCATGACCTTTTCTTGCAGCGTGTATTTAGCTAGCCCTGTGACCTTTCTGGGTCTTGGCCTCCTCGCCGGAACATGGAGGCTTTATCCCAACTTTGCTGGGCTACTGTGAGGGTGGAACAAGACAGTGGGATGTATGTGTAAATGGCAGTCAGCAAATGCTGGGAAGCTTAGGTCCTTTTGTCTCTCCTTGTCCTGACACAGATGTATCATGGGGAGCCTTCTGGTCCCTAAGTCAGGTCCAACTTCTGGCTCAGTGCTGGAGTGCTGTGGCTGGATGGGATGTAGTGCTTTTGACTCTAGGCCTTCTGGGCAGGACTCTCAGTATGCCAGTGACACAAGGATATCCATTTAGAGGCTGTACTCTAGCTTTTGCAGGGTCTTGTGTGCTAAGACTGGGCGATGCTTTGAAGGCTGAGGTCACTAGGCAGCTTCCTTCACAGAGTTCAAACTGGACAAAGCTGCTGTTCTTGAGCCCACACTATTGTCTAACAGATCTCAGAAAGTAGCCAGTATCACAATTGAAGAAGACCCAGGGGCCATGGCAGGACCGGGGTCTCCACTGTTGGCTTCAGCCCAGGTTCCACTCTACCTGGAAGTTCTGAGGCTTGTCAACCTCTGGGTGTCCTCATGTTCTCATCTGCAGGGAGGCTGTGTGGTTTGGTATCACTCTGGCCTGTGTGGGAAGTTGTCACAGAGGCAGATTGAAAAAGAAGAATCAAAACTCAGTTGGCCCTGGGTTGGAATGAAGGGCAGACAGCAGTTCCCAGCACACAGTGTGGTCCTCCCAGACACCTGGACTTCCTATTTCTGCTCCAGTCATCATGAGGGAAGAGCAAGGTCTCTGATTCTCCTCTTTCTTGCTTCAGGTCCACAGCCCTGACTTAGTTCAGCTGCAAAGTGATGCTGCCCCCAGACTATCTGGTCCACCCTCAGCTTAGGACCACTCCCTGTTTCAGTTGTGTTCATGCTCTCTGGGTCACTTACCTTGGCCCAACACTCACAGTTTTAAAGAAACAAAGTGAAATAGTGGACTTTGATTTTTTAATTGATTATTGTTTGGGTTTTAGCTTTTTGCTGTTGTGTGTAGTTCTGGGGACAGAACTCAGGGCGGTGACATGTCAGGTTCTGCTTCTAATCTACACTCAGCCCAGAGGAGTGGCTTTGACTCCTAACTCAGATACTGCAGCTTGAATGACCTTGGGATGAAAGTAAATGCTCAGTTTCCCTCCCCCAAAATGGGGGTCAGGACGCCCACTTTGCTGAATTCTTAAGGGTGATGGGATGGTATAGAGTGCAGCATGATTTCAAGAGAGAGAAGACAGAGACAGAGAGACAGAGACCGACAGACAGATGGGCCTGACATTTTGAAAGCTCAGAGCCCATGCCCAGTGACAAACTTCCTCCAACCAGGCCACACCTCCTATTTCCTCTCAAATAGTTCCACTCCAGGGTGACTAAGCAGTCAGGTATCTGAGCCTATGGGGGCCATTCTCATTCAAACTGCTACTGTGTCCCAAACAGAGGTTATACAATAAACAAAAGCCCTGGGGTGGAAATTGCAGTGTCCATTCAGAATGCATCAAAGCTATGGCCTTGGGCAGTGGGGCAGCTCCGCTGTGGACGGTGGGCAGGCCCAGTGGCATCGGTTCGCCTTGCTAACTGGTTTTGAAATGTTCTGTAGGCAGCAGCAGTAATCACGGAAGAGTGTCAAGCTGGAAGGATATTTACATTTTCAACATGCTCTCAGCAGTTGCTGGCAAGTGTTAGAAGAGTCAATTTTGGAGGCAGGAAGATAGCTCGAAGCTGATTACAACATCCAGGTGAAGGATAGTGGTGCCTGACCAGGACGAGTGCAAGAATGAGGACAGGAGGAGGGGACATGCATTACAGATGCTGAGCGAATGGAAACGACAAGACTTGGTTACCAATTAGGGTGGTTATATTCTCTGCAGGGAGAGAGGAGTCTCCCGATTGCTTGGGTAACTCAGTGCTGGAGAGTGCCATTCATTAAAACTGAAACACAGAGGGAGGTCAAAGTAGGAATGGTGTTGGGTTCAACTCTGGGCATAGGAGGGGCCTCTGGCTGCCTCCAGCCAGGGAGTGGGAGCTAATGATGTAGAATAGTTAGGAATGGATGTGGCAGGGCCAGTAAGATAAGAGGAGGGCACAGGGAAGAGTCCCCAGAGGAAGCTTGACAGCTGACAAATAGGTGGTAGAGAAGCTCCCAGGAGACTGAGGCTGACAGTTGAAGACCACAAGGAGGGGAGCAGAGAGAGGGAGCCATTGCATCTGCCATGTGTGTGTGTGGTGGGGGGGCAGGACTGAAGAACACATTTGTCCTTTGCTTTAAGTTATGTGTTGTCAGGGCAGTCATTGGGAATGGCAGTGTGTGTGTGGGGGTGGGAGTGAACAAGTAGAGACAGTAAGTATAGGTGGTCTGACTTTGTGGATTGACTATGAGCAAGGAGCCAACTGGGCGGCGGGGGGGGGGGGCAGAGAATAACCAGGCTTACTGTCTGGTCCAGGAGCATGCAAGTGGGGAAGGGTAGAGTGCCCCAGGGCAGAGGTGCTGGGCATAGGCTAGGAATATGGACAGCAGTGGGGGTTCACATCACAAAGCCCCTGGATGGAAGCTGCAAGCACCATCAGTTGCAGCTTGTGCTATTTCATTAGCTAACTCAATGGATAGTGTCCATCTACTCCTGTTTGGGAGTGTTGATCCCCTCAAGATCTAACCTAAGCCTACATACATACTCTTCTTTAGTTTCCTCCTTTGTGACAGAAACATAACGATAGTGATAAGATATGAGCCTTCAGCTTTATGAATTTGGAACACAAGGGACCCAAAGTGGAGATTTTTCATTTATTAGGTATATAAAAGTGAATATTTTTATTAAATACCTATTGGGTTCCCAGAAGACGGGGAACTTATTTAAAATTATAGGACATAAATTACAGTCAAGAGACAGCTCACATTATAAAAGGCTCACCCACTGTGGAGTGATTGTCCAGGAGATCCAAGCAGCCTCCTGGGTAGTTACAATGTGCTGTCACTAAGACACGATGTGTGTGGTGCAGGAGGTGTCATTAGTGCAGACTCTCTGGGGTCCCTTTGCTAAATAGGTTAGTGGCATCTTCCCATCAAGGGACAGGCAGACAGTTCAGTCCTGCTCTTTGTCTCCCCCTTCCTATAGAAGCGTTGACTCAAATGCTGGCCTTAAGAGGAAAGGGGACAGTTGAGTTCTGTACTGACTTCTCTAAATTAGTGAATTTACCCTCCTAGAATTTATAACATTGAGCCTGCATGCTCATCTCAATAATCATAATTCACTCTTAACTCCTGCCTCTGGAATGTGTTTGACTCTTTCCTTGAGCCATCTGACCCAAGGTCATAAGCACCATAGGAGGAGATGTGTGTGACAGTCCATGTGGCATGGAGGATGAGGGAGTGGGGTATGTCTCTTGAGGGGTGGGTGAGCTCTAGAGAGGTGATGCTGGGCCCTGTGGTCACTTGGAGCAGAGACCTCGTATACTGGAGACAGAGCTGGCCTGGAGCTATTCAGAGGCCTAAGGAGAAGAGGAGAAAGTTATGTCTTTCTTTTGTGGGAGCTAGAGGCTGTCTGTCCTTTATGCAGATAGGCCATAGACAGTCCTGATGGTGTGTCTGACTGATTGATTGATGAATATGAAATTTTGATTCTGGGGCTGAGGAGGTGACTCAGTAAAGTTCTTGCCACCCAACCATGTGGACCTGAGCTTGGATCCTCAGCACCCACATAAAAGCTGGGGTTGGTGTGTTTGCAACCTATCTGGGGGGTGCATGTGGTGTGTGTGTGTGTGGTGTGTGGTGTGTGGTGTGTGTGTGTGTGTGTGTGTGTGTGTGGGTGTGTGTGTGTGTGTGTGTGTGTGTGTGTGTGTCTGTGTCTGTGTGTGTGTCTGTGTGTGTGTGTCTGTGTCTGTGTGCATATATGTGTGTCTCTGTGTATGTGTCTGTGTGTGTCTCTCTCTGTGTATGTCTCTCTGTATGCACATCTCTGTCTGTCTGTCTGTCTGTCTGTCTGTCTGTCTGTCTCTCTCTCTCTCTCTCTCTCTCTC